TCAAGATGCCTTGGGGCGTTCCTATTTTACCTTTCCGGGGCACACCGGGGGAGTTGTCCGCCTTGTTCGTCTGTGGTTCCATTGTTTCGCCTGAGTCGCTGCTGTTGCACCTAGACAGGAAATCCACCACAGTGTTTGATTTTCCAGGCCTGAACACGATTTGGAATTTGTAAGGCTGTAGGGCCAATGCCCATCGGGTGATCCGGGCATTATTGGTCCTGGCTGTGCTTAGCCATTGGAGCGGGGCATGGTTCGTTACTAGCTTGAATTCTCGGCCCATTAAATAATATCGGAAATGGTCCACGGCCCACCGTATGGCCAAACATTCCCTCTCTATTGTGGCGTACCTCTTTTCTGCCGTTTTCAACTTGCGGCTGGCATATGCTATTGGTCTTTCAATTCCTTCCTCCTCCTGCGTGAGGACGGCTCCCATGGCCGTTTCGGACGCATCCGTCTGTAAAACGAAAGTTTTCCCAAAGTTAGGAGTGTGCATTATCACGTCCTCGCAGAGGGCCCGTTTTAATTTTCTAAAGCACTGCTCCATCTGCTCCGTCCACCTTACCACCCCGTTCTTCCTCCCCCTCAATGCCTCTGTTAAGGGTGCCGTCAGTTCCAAAAAGTGGGGCACGAACCTCCAGTAGTAGTTAGTCAGCCCCAGGAATGATCGGAGCTGACGGCAATTTTGAGGGGCTGGGAAACTCCGCACCATTTCTACTTTGTCGGCCAGGGGTCTGATAGTGCCTCTACCCACCAGGAATCCTAGGTATTTGGTCTCCCTTTTTGCTAAGGCGCATTTCTGCGGGTTCGCTGTAAGCCCGGCCCGCCTTAGCTCCGACAATACGGCCCGGAGGGCCTGCTTATGGTGCGTCCAGGTTGGCAAGTATAAGATTATGTCGTCGATGTAGGCCACCGCGTACCCCACGTGGGGTGCCAACAGTCGGTCCATCAACCGCTGGAAAGTTGCGGCCGCCCCGTATAACCCGAAGGGCATCCTTAATTATTTGTATAGGCCCCAGGGCGTACCAAAGGCCGTCTTGGGTCGGTCGGCCGGGGCCACTGGGATTTGCCAGTATCCTTTGGCCAAATCCAGCGTTGATATTGTCGTGGAAACACACGCAGCATACTTTTGGGTCAGGTCAGCAGAAGCTTTTATTCAAAAGAAACTACAGCTGTAGGGGGGACTCCAAAGTGACATGGATCTCCCAAGCACTTGGAAGGGGTCCCCCCCCAAGAGCAAAATCAGGAGGCTTATATACTTTTTAACAGTTGCTTACAACTCACGTGATCATATAGTGAAATTAGCATGAAAAGCGGCTATAACATTACTTCATTATTTCTTTGCTGTAATCAGGATGGGAACTAATGGGGGAGGCGAGGTTAGTTCACAAACCTCCTTCTTGCACCTGCAAATCAGAGTTGTACATACTTTTTGCTATCTTCAAGGCCGCGGTGAGCGAAGCAGTTGCAGAGGAGTTACAAAGAACAAACACTTTCTCTTATCTGTTCTACTATACAGAGCCAGCAATTCTCCACAAAGCGGTTATGTCATCTTATAACTAAAATAGTCAAAGTTTAAGGCATATATTTTTTCTGATTCCACAGTTCCCCCCCCTTTGAGACTATT